CACACACACACACACACACACACACACACACACACACACCCTGCAGAAAAGAATGACCAAAAGAGATGTAGAAAGAATGCCACAGTAATAAAGCTAGATGTATTAAAAAAAAAAAAAAAAGATTCCAGTTGCTGACTCCTTCTGGCATTTTCCAGCTACACCAGTAGTAATACACCAGTACGGTCATTAGGAAAAACTAGGTGAAATCTGTAAGAGCTCAACTAGAGTTTTAAATTTCCTTAGCTAAAATTGTCCTTCAGAACCACCAACCTCTGTATCTTCTTAACCCTGAAACTGGAGAGGCTTGTGACAAAATATCAGACTTAGAGATAACCTCCATCAGTAGAAGAGTCTAAGAGCTATCAGGTTACAATCTCTGTTCCAATCTCTTTAAGAACAGTTTCTAAACATGGCTCTTTCTCCAACCTGCCTTTCCATGCTAGTGCTCACGCTTTGATTATACGTGCTCTAATTTTTCAGGAAATTTGTTTATTCTTGCCTAGAGACTGCCAACTCCAAGTGATATGCAGATGCTGGAGCCAGTGACAAATGTGCTAGACTCCTTTTACTATGTTCCACCGGCTCAGCCTTGTAAAGAAACTCATAACTGCTAACCTACAACATGACTTCTATCTGTGCCCCATTAGATTAGCTCTTAGGAAAGGGCCCCTGACTGTGGTCTTCCCTATATTGGCCCTTCTCAGTTTGAAGCAGTTAGATGAAAACTACGCCTCTTCTCCCTTAACCACAGTTAGGCATACTTCACGGGGGAAATGATAAAGACAGCTAAGTTAGGTAGAAATATTATAGGCAGTCATACATGGCTGGGCCCTGGAAGTCAATGCAGACGAAGAGAACAAGAGGCTCATCTGAAGAAGATGAAAGTCACAATGGCCAGATATGCATACTTCTCTAAGGGCTAAACCGAAGCTTGAGATTATTGGTACCACCCTTTTGGGCTTTCCCCTATAGACAGAGCATTATCTCATTGTGGGTGGGCCATCCTCCTCCATCCACTGAAACTAATAAGAATTAAGAATGACTATAAAATATCTATCAAAGTTAATGATGTCATCCATATGTTACTATTGGGTCAGTATTACCTAGGTGATTATGCTTGTAATCTTATTGGTTGATTATAGTTTTTAACCATGTTGTACCCACCCCTCATGACTTTGCTCTATAAAACGACCTTTGAGGTCTGGGGATTTACCTCATTGGTGCTGCACCTGCCTCACAAATGCAAGATCCTGAGTTCAATCCCTGGTACAAAACAAAAACAAAAACAAACCAAAAAAGCCCCAAAACAAAAGCAACGAACTACTTTTGAGAAGTGGGCTCCTTGTTAACCCATTCAGGACCCCTCCTGTCTCTCAGGAGCTATTCTTATTCCTCATTCCTATTCCCCAATAAATGCTCCTACTCTCAACAACAACAAAATAATAACTGTATACTGTAATTCTTTTCTTGGGGAGGTGGTACTAGTGATTGAATTCAGGACTTGATTATGCTAGGTGAGCATTCTACCATTGATCTTAATCCCAGTCCATTTTATTTTGTGTTTTGAGATAGAGCCTTGCTGAGTTGACCAAGCTGGGCCGGAATTTTGCAGTCTTCCTGCCTCCACCTTCCAAATAACTGGGATTATAGGAATGGGCCACTTACTCTGGCTCAGTATAATCTTTTTATTTTATATATATATGATATATAATTGTTAAATGAGAGTAATTAGTATACTTATTACCTCAAGCACTTTTTAACTTCTTTATTATCTGGATAATCATTAACAAACTTTAATTAATTCATAAAAGAGATAACATATGAAAACATGTAGCCCATATTTATTACTCAGTGAAATTTGCTTCTTCATTCATTCCTACGTGTTTGATTTGATGAATAAATAAGATTTATAACATGTAATCATAAAAGCTGCTTTGTTTTGTGTCCTCTGTGAAGGTAAAGTTAGTATATGTTCAGCCTCTGAATAAAATCTGTGACTTTGCTGATTATTCTTAGATTAAAAAATCCAGCTGTGTGTGGTGCCTGAGGCAGCTCACAAGTTTGAGCCCAGCCTGGGAAACTTAGCAAGAACCTCTTATGGGGATGTAGTTCAGTGCAAAAGCCCTGCTGGCTATAATCCCTAGTACCACAAAATACAGCACATTTAAATTGCTAAATTAATTTG